CACACTTTAACTATGACAGTATTAACAGGTACAGCTTTTGCATTAACGTAAAACCAATCAACTTCTCCAAACTGGACAGGGCATCATTTACCTTTGATCATGAGCTCATAGGCCTCTTGAGTGACCCCCTCAGGCTGGTTTTCATCCTCTGGACTTGTGGATTTTACAGCCACCTCTGCTTTGACCCTCTTTGAGCCCTTCGCCTGCTCAGCACTCCACATCTTTCTCTTTGGAACCGCTTTGCCATTCTAAACAGGGTGAGACCGTCTTTAACACTACCCATCCAACTAAAGAGTTGACGCTTTGTAACGTCCAAAATGGCAACCACCACCACGTACCTCAATGATACGCCCAAGGTTCTTATTGACAGCAGACGGCTGAAGGACCTGCAGCGTCCTCCTCCCTGATCCTGCTCCAGATGTTGGTACTACAAGGAACTTCTGAGAAAAGAAAGAAAGGCAATCTCAGGGTCCTCAAGTATCATACAAGTGTCAAATATTGAGAACAGAGGCTTATTTCAGTGAGAACGAAAGTTAAGCAACCCCATCCAAACACACAGTAACAGGCTCCATTCACCTGCCTCAACAGTCATTCTTCTCCTCTTACACCTGGTTAAGCTGTCAGTATGAGATGGCAACAAGCAAGGTATCGGAGCAACTCAGCATATCAACAGTTCTAACAAGCGTGAGAAAGGGGCAGGCCACACATCAGCTGCATGCTGTAAACACCTCCAATTCCCATGGACAGCGATTGGGCCGCTTGCATTATCTTACTGCAGCATTCTTTAACCTGTAATTATCGTGGGAACTCGCCACCGAAGTCTCCTTGTGACCAACTGCAAGTTTGGAGTTGGTTAATGTTTTCACTTAAAACCGTGGCAGACGGATGCACAGTTACTGGATTTCAACACATGGGCAATGATTAATTTAAAAACAGAGCAAGGTCGGAGTTGAGTTTGTCCTAAATGGGAAATTTGATCAAGTTAAAGACATGTTGCAATGTGTTGACATCATTCTTTCCCTTTTTGAAAATACTCCAGACAATTTAAGTAATCCAAACTTATGAATAATATCTAGGGGTCATTACATGGCCACTATAAAAACCACTAATGACTACCTTTTAAAATGGGACATTAATCAGTTTATGGGAGTGCTGCCAGATTTTTTCAAAAACCCATTTACCCTTGTGTTGTGTTCAGAACCCTTTCACACTAACGAGGTTACAGAGCAAAAAGGACCCGGCCTCAAATTGCTTATAAATCACTCATTATGCTATATTATCACCAAAGATTGGATTCAATCTTTTTGTCAACTTCTTTTCTTTCATTTAAGACTGGTTTTGTATTTATATTCACATCCGTTTAATCGTAGGCCTCATTTATCTGAAAATAGGCACTTCATTTTTTGAGTGAAAAAATAATTTAGGAATAATTTTCACAATATTAAATAAAATGTGGAGAAAATGTGTACTGTTTATCACACTAGTGTGCTTTAATGTTTAATCAGGGAGTTGGCTTTGAAAGGCTTTTATTTTGTACAAAATGGCACAAAGTCACACTTGGTGTTCCCGGTCAAAAATGACTGGCCATTCAGAGTGAATGGGAAAGATCACAAAAAAGGACCTTTATTTTGAAATGCTTTTATTTTCTGTAAAGGGGCAAAAAGTAACACTTTTGCTGTTCCCTGTCAAATCTGAACATTGTGGCATACGAGAAAGAACACTAACATTAAAGGGTTACTTCACCCAAAAATGAAAATTCTGTCATTAATTACTCACCCTCATGTCGTTCCAAATCCGTAATACCTCAGTTCATCTTCGGAACACAAATTAAGATATTTTCTCAGAATTCATCAAAAATATCTTAATTTGTGTTCCGAAGATGAACTGAGGTATTACGGATTTGGAACGACATGAGGGTGATTTTCTTCAGTTTTTATTTAATATTGTGAAAATTATTCATAAATAATGCTTTTTTCACTCAAAAAATGAGGTGCCTACTCAGATAAATGAGGCCTACGATTAATCAGAAGCAAATATAAATACAAAACCAGTCCTAAATGAAAGAAAAGTTGACAAAGATTGAATCCAATCTTTGTTGATAATATAGCATAATGAGTGATTTATAAGCATTTTTTTGAGGCCGGGTCCTTTTTGCTCTGTAACATCACAGGTGTAACAAGGTGAAAAATCTCCCCCAGAAAAGTATGAAAATGATCAAATTTTTTTAGAAGTAGTTATACCCTTTGTGAACAAAGTCACAATTTCAGTCCAATGCGGTAATATTAACTAGTATTTTCGGGAAAAAGAAAATTTTCAGAGCAAAAAGGACCCGAACACCACATGAGGGTTAATTTAATCACCCAACAGGACACTGGTTCAGCAATCATCCGTGTTTTGAGTAGTAATTTAATTAATTGCATCTACGAAGCCTAAGGCAAGACATTCTCACATACCTTGATGTTTACAGAGGGATTCTCTGCATGCTTGGGTCTTCTGATGGAGCTCATGTTTTCACCTAGAAAAGAGTTCAGTAACTTCAGTGAGTTTCATTAGTTGAAAGGTCACATTGGGTTCCAGTCACTTTGACTTGGAAATACATTCATTCCCCTACACTTTTAGTCTTCCAGTCTACAAATAATTGCTTTTAAGATTCTTTTGATGAGAGATTACCAAATTTTAGATTCAGCACAGGTTTTACAGCCCTCTTCTTGGAAACACAATTATGCTAATGGTTTTCAACATGGCAAAAGTTACGACAGACATGTAGTTAACATACCCATTAGCCTAAAAATAGAGACAAACTAATAGACTGACAAGACACTTTAAATTAAATTACAGCACGATTAAAACATACAAAAATACAAATTAAACAGTTAACGTTGTAACACTAATTGACATCCAAAATGTTTTAAAACAATAAAAACAGAACTGTAGATTTATTCATAACTCATTCGCCACCTATATAACTTTAAAAGACATACATTTTATACGTGTATAACTAAAATCACAAGCATAGATCAAAAGCGGTGTACGTTAGGCCTCTGTTTGTGTCCAGACCACGAAGACCATCCAGCCACTCGTACAGACTGTACATTTAAAAACACATTGCCATTCCTTAAAAATCAACAAAAAGTCTCTACAACTCAACAAAACAAAAGCCAACATAAACCCAGCAAGTCAAAGATGATACTTACGAAAATTGCACGATAAACACAGACTGCTCTTTACAACCCACTAAAACACACCAGCTTGGGTGTGAAGAGCGCGCCGATGGCTTAAGTACTGCCTTTGTACCGTCACGTGACTCTGGATTTCGCGCGGATTGAGAGGCTGACATAAACAAACAGCCAACCAAGGGATTTTTTTTTAATTCAAGGGATATTTAATTTCACTATAAGAATATTAGAATTTCTATCCACTTCACAAAATATTGTCCGTGTTTAAGGTGAGTACTACGCACAATTAAATTATGCGTAAATGATGTATATTTAGTATTATGTGTTATATAATGTTAACTATTTAATACAGTATAGTCGACAATAACATTTTATTGAATTGATTGAGAAGTTGATTATGTCCGTATCTACACTCAACTTGTCTATCCTCCAAGTTTTGACAGTTTAAGTACCTTTTAATAATTTAATCCACGTTACAACCGACCCCACCTACTGTTTTTATTATGTCTATGGTTGTGACCATGACCATAGGGTTTGTTTAAACGTCTGTGACTAGTGTTTTTCTTTTGCTTCACAACATGTCTCAAAATTTTATATAATGCTGCTCCCTTATTTATAACACAAAGAGTTTTTGATGTATTTATTCAGAAATATTGTGAAAAATAATTATTGTGGAAAACTCCCATTTTTGTCTGTTACAAATCAGTTATTTCTTATTTGTCACAAGCTACACCACTACCCGAGTAAAAACAGTAGGTGGGGTCGGTTGTAACGTGGATTAAATTATTAAAAGGTACTTAAACTGTCAAAACTTGGAGGATAGACAAGTGGAGTGTAAATTCTAAAATACTATTCTACTATTATTATTATCGTGTCTATGGTCACAACCATAGAGTCACAACACTGACCTTCGTAAACCCAGCTGACAGCAGCGCGCGCTCCTCCTCTGTCACGTGTGCACAGCTGCGTGATGCGCAGCGGCCATTTTGAGTTGTTTGTTCAGCGAGGAGCGCTTGTTATTTTCCAGACAAACGCAGATCAAAGGGCCGAACCAGTCGAAAGAATCGCTCGAAAGACATTTCACCCTTTCCTTCCATCATTATGGGTCCACCGCGATGCAGATGCCGCCGTCTGTTACCTGAGAGAACGGAGGACTTCGGTCGGTTTGTCAGTTTATCTTGACATGGCTTATACGGGTGTGTGACGACTGTGGAAAAGCTCGAAAACAAACGGGAGAACATCAAACTAAACCTCCGCCGAGGATCGATCCATCCGGGGCGGGTTTTTGCACTGAGCTCGGTGTATTAAGACGTGTTAGGATTGTTTTGCAGTACTTGCTCGGATCGCAACGGGCTTGAAAGTCAACTCGAGAAAAAAATGGCGAGAAACAATAGTTAACGTTAGCCAGCCACGCATCGAAGCCAGTCTCTGCTAGCATCGCGATAACAATCAGAAAACAGGTAAAAAACAAAATGTAACAGTCGGTTTATTGATGAATACTAGCTTTGAATGCTCTCGTAGATCTCATACTGGATAAAAAAAAAAGAGATGTAGCTCCCTTCAACCAGATTATCAGTTGGTGGCGTGCGTGTGTATTCAGCTTAGCTAGCATTAGTTTGCTAGCCAGCCACAAAATAAAAGCCTTACAATGAAACTCAACCGTGGCAGGAGAGCTCGTGGGCCCATTTTATGCCCTTAAATCCCAAGATGTCCAGCAAACTCTGTGTTCTTACTCCGTGCCAAGATCTCATGGCATCTGCATTTCTCTGCCATGGTTGTCTTTCTCACCTGTCATTCAGATGTGCTTTTATGAGACCGTTTATTCAAAGACATGGATACAAGCAAGAGTCAATCCTGGAAGAGCTTTTCCAACGTCAAATCTCTTGGTCAGCTTTTTAGATAACTTTAACCCAGATTTATTTATCTAAAGACAGGGATCTGTCCCCTCACACACACGGACGCAAACACAAAACTGTCGGTATGGGCTTTCAAACTGACTTGGCCCAAGTGCACTACCCACATTGATTAAAAATGACTTGATTTGGTTTTGCTAACTTTGTTCGTTAATTCAAATTAGTATGTACTGCAGGTAGTGCTTGGTTATAGCTTATTTAGTTTTTAAAAGCGTTTGTAAACCACAGTCTACTGTCAAGCAAATAAAAAGCGAAAAAAAGTCTGCTTAAGGAAAATAGTACTGTCCGTAATAATGGGAGACCCAAATTCTCGCCGGAATCAAACAAGAAACCGACTCCGTGCCCAGCTACGGAAGAAACGAGAATCTTTGGCCGATCAGTTCGACTTCAAGATCTACATTGCCTTTGTATTTAAGGAAAAGGTACATTGAATGATTCTGTATGAAGCTGAGAAATTATTGACTGTCTATGATTGTTCTCATATGCCTTTTCCCACTTTTACAGAAAAAGAAGTCTGCACTCTTCGAAGTAGCTGAGGTGGTACCTGTGATGACCAACAACTATGAGGAAAATATCCTTAAAGGCGTGAAGGATTCGAGCTACTCCTTAGAGAGTTCTTTAGAGCTTCTCCAGAAAGATGTGGTGCAGTTACACGCGCCTCGTTACCAGTCGATGCGTAGAGTAAGTGTTGGCACACAGCATGGTTGACTTTCGACATTGTCAGTTGAAGATTAAGCTGCTGTCAGCTGTTTTGCAACCATCTGTCTTGTCTAAAAACCCATGTGTCATCATGTTGTTCGAGGTCATTGCTTTTTTGTGTCTCACTGATGTTTCTAAATCTGTACAGGATGTGATCGGTTGTACCCAGGAGATGGACTTTATCCTTTGGCCCCGCAATGATATTGAGAAGATTGTCTGTCTCCTGTTCTCCAGATGGAAAGGGGCTGAACATGAACCATTCAGGCCTGTTCAGGTATGTATATGTAATTTCTGCCAAAAAAAATAGTGGTACTTATTATTCCTCGTATTTGAGGTCATGGGCTCATTCAAACCCTTAACACCAAGTATTCAACATGCACAATAGGCATGAATGATGCATAGAAATCCATTCACAAATTAAATATAGTTACATTTGCATTTGAACATTTACAGGCCAAGTTCGAGTTTCATCATGGAGACTATGAAAAGCAGTTTTTGCATGCTGTTGGTCGGAAGGACAAGGCTGGGATGGTTATGAACAACCCCAATCAGTCTGTCTTTCTCTTTGTGAACAGACAGCACTTACAGGTTGGTTCAATAAAACATGAAATATGAAGGTGCATGGATAATATTTAAGAATGCCATGAGGATTATCAACTTTTTTGTATTAAAGGGGTCATATGATGCGATTTCAATTTTTCCTTTCTCTTTGGAGTGTTACGAGCTATTTCAGCATGTGGGGCATAGAGGAGAAACAATAATGTACAGTATGTGGAAAATGTGTTTTTTGAACTTTAAACCGCATAAACACATTGCATTACACCAAATACACAAAATACTGTTCTTTTTAGCAACATCATATGACCCATTTAATATTGTACATGTATCTAACACTCAAATTAGTTTTTTTTTTTTTAAAGATTAACTTTAATAACACTGTTAAATATAATCTTTAGTAAATCTCAATATGAAGCTTTATTTCTCAATACATGCTTTATATATAGTATTGTGATGCTTAAATTTACGCAAAGCATTAAAATGATTGATTGTAGTTTTTAGTGTTTATTAATAGACAAAATAATGTTTTATATAGGTTTCACCAGGAATAATCTTAAATTGATCTGATATTGAAATGAAAATTTTTTATATTGACATGGTTGGTTGTAAATTGTTGTTTTTCAGTACTACTGTGTTACTATTTGTTTCTTATAAAATACATTGATCTTGCCATGAAAATAGTCATAGATGCTGGGACGGCAATGAAAATAAATAAATTGAAAGGGGTCATATGACGTTGCTAAAAAGAACATTATTTTGTGTAATGCAGGGCTGTCCAAACTCGGTCCTGGAATGCCGGTGTCCTGCAGAGTTTAGCTCCAACCCTAATTAAACACACAGGGTCGGCGCCAGAGCGCACAAAGTGAGGGGGCAGGCACAATTTATTGGGGGGGCTGCTTTGAAAAAAAAAATTTGTCTGAAAGTAATTTTCAGATGCAACGGGGGGGAAAACGGGATAAACACAAACATGAAACTTGTAAATAAAATAATGTATGTACAATTGTACCTATGTACAATTTAATAACATATAGGCTAGTTTGATATATGAATCGGGTGTTCGTCAAAGATTGCATGCGGTCGGAGATTCCCGTGTTTACAGCTCCGTAAAAAAAATATGCCACAGTGGAGCGGGTCTCACGCCGAACGGCACGGTGAACGGCTGTGCTGTTTCCAATGAATGCAGTAGCTTAGTGTGCGCGTGAGGCGCCGGCGCGATCAAACAGCTGAAGCATAAAATAGACTACTCTGTCATTTTTGGTCATACAGTAAAGGCATAATTCGAAACTGCAAAGTGTTAGCAGTTTGAAAATTCCAGAATAATAGCAAAGTTAATAAGAATTATTTCTAAATGCAGCACTGTTATTATTTCGCTCTGCATAACCTGAACGGAAATTATTTATTTTTTTGCTAAGAACGAACCGAAATGAAAACATTACGCTTTTAATCTGTGTATTTAACAGCCTGGGAGACCTTCCCAGGGCAGTACCTTGCCTCACCGACTAAAATCAGGACGCCCACTACGGAGACGGCACCAGAGGTGAGGGGGCACAGTGACCGAGGGGGCCGGGATGGGCCCCCTCAGGCCCCCCCGTGGCGCCGACGCTGTAAACACACCTGAACCAGCTAATCAAGCTCTTACTAGGCATAGAAACTTCCAGTCAGGTGTGTTGAGGCAAGTTGGAGCTAAACTCTGCAGGATACCGGCCCTCTAGGACCGAGTTTGGACAGCCCTGGTGTAATGCAATATGTTTAATGCGGTTTAAGGTAAAAAAAAAAACACATTATTTTCCACAAAATGTACATTATTGTTGCTCCTCTATGCCCCGCCTTTCTAAAA